ATTACATTAAATTTGAACATTTTTTATAGGTAATTGTATATAAAACGTAACCTTAAATCGTTCACTTCTTAGTTATTAATTTTATAATATTTTTCAATAAATTTGACCACCTGCAAAAGATAATTGTATTATATGTAACCTTAAATCGGTCACTTTTTCTAGATAAAGTTATTAGAGGTAAGCTTAACTCTTCAACTTTTTGAATTGATAATTTTACATTTAACTTGAACATTTTTATAGGTTATTGTATATAAAATGTAACCTTAAATCGTTCACTTCTTAATAGTTCAATTTATTATATTTTTCAATAAATTCGACCACATGTAAAAGATAATTGTATTAGATGTAACCTTTAATCTGTTACTTTTTTTTTGATGATTTTAGGAGATGTCTCCTTAAATCGACCCCTTTCTTTATTGATTATTTAACTATATTTTATAATAAATTCGACAATTTTTTATAGGTAGTTGTATTAGATGTAAAATTTAATCAGTCACTTATTCTTAATAATTGCATTACATGTAACCTGAAATCATCTACTTTCTTCAATAATCATTTTACAATCAATTCGACTTCTTTTTATAGATAAATGCATTACAGGTGACCTGAAGTCGGTAACTTTTTCGAGATGATAGTATTAGATGTAACCATAAATTGTTCACTTTTTCTAAATAATTTTATTAAAGGTAACTTTAACTCTGCCACTTTTTGATTGATAATTTTACATTAAATTTGAACATTTTTTATAGGTAATTGTATAAAATGTAACCTTAAAGCGTTCCCTTCTTAATTGTTAATTTTTTTTTTTTTCAATAAATTCGACTATATGTAAAAGGTAATTGTATTAACTGTAACCTGAAATAGTTCACTTTTCTAGATAATTTTATGAGATCTTAGATCGATCACTTTCTTTATTGATATTTGATAACAAATTCGACAACTTTTTATAGATAATTGTATTAGATGTAACGTTTAATCAGTCACTTATTCTTAATAATTGTATTAAATATATCGTGAAATCGGCCCCTTTTTTCATTCCTCATTTTGCAATCAATTTGGCTACTTTTCATAGATAATTGTATAAGATGTAACCTTTAATCAGTCACTTTTGGGAGATAATTGTATTACAGGAGACCTTTAATCGGTCGTTTTTTTTTCTAGATAATTGAATTACATGTGACCTTAAATCAGTCACTTTTTCTAGATAATTTTATTAGATGTGACCTTCACTCCGCCACTTTTTGAATTAAAATATAACATTATATTTGAACTTTTTTTTAATAGATAATTGTATATAAAATGTAACCTTAAATCGTTCACTTCTTAATTGTTAATCTTATAATTTTTTTTAATAAATTCGACCACCTGTATAAGATAATTGTATTATATGTAACCTTAAATCGGTCACTTTTTCTAGATAATTTTATTAGAAGTAACCTTAACTCTGCCACTTTTTGAACTGATAATTTTACATTAAATTTTAACATTTTTAAAGGCAATTGTTTATAAAATGTAACCTTCAATCGTTCACTTCTTAATTATTAATTTTTCAATAAATTCGACATGTAAAAGATAATTGTATTCGATGTAACGTTTAAGGTAATTTCCGACACTTAGGGAGAGAACAACGTTTTACTGATATAAGACTGGTTTACGATTTACGTCATTGTATATATCGCGTATATTACGATGTCACGGTAACAGCTTTGTTATCGTCTAAACAATACTAGTTAGTCAATATATCCGCTTTTTTTCGTCATGGGTCGCATACGTAGGGGAGGAAAGTTTATCAAAAAGGATAAATTAAAGCGCTCTTTGAGAATGAATAATTTAAATAGCCTCAGTCGGGAAGACCACACTTATATTCTCACTAATAATTCGCAGATGTAAGTTTTTGTGAGTTGGACGTTGGACAATCGGTGTCAGTTCACAGTGACCCTTCTTTTGACGAAACATGGAAAGAAGGTCGTCGGCTAGTCGAATTGCTCCACCTCGCACAGAATCTCTTCTGCAAAATGTGTAACTGTCCCTTGCAGTTAATTGACACTGTCGGCGAACGGAAGTACGGCCTTGGTAGCATTTTGTTCATACCCTGTAGTAGCTGCAGTGCTTGTAACAGTGTGGAGACGGGAAAAAGAAGTGAGACTGGTGCATTTGTAGTGAATTCAAAAGTTGCATTAAGTAAGAATTTACGGTAAGAATTTACAAGATTCTCTCTAGATTCTGTATACTAATTTTACTGGGTGGAGAAGGTGTATGGTTTCATGTCTTGTATAAATGAACCTGCCCCACACCTCTCCTTTTCTATCTTGAATTCCCTTCTGTTCTGGTCTGGGGTTTATGGGGTTTGGGATGAAAAAGTGTAATTTTCAGGGGAAGTGCTGCCCAAATATTTTATGAATCTGGACTTAGTCATTTTTATGCATTTTTTTCAAATTTTTACCCCCCTCCCCCTTCTAGTTCAAATTAGAGGAAATAATTCCCATTTGTTGGGTTATGCCTAACCGGTTTAAAAAGGTAGTCTCCTTACACATGCAGTTTATGGATATAACATATTTATGTACTATGTATACTTATAGTGACCATTTTGGTGAACTTTATCATATCACACATTTCAAAACTTTTAACTGCACAAGGTGGATAAATAAAGAAAAATGACTTTTAGTATATGTTGGTATATAATTTCTTTAGTCATTATAGGAAATTTATATGAGTCTTTGATCTATAAGTATAAATGAAGATATGGATTTACAATCATATAGATAAATTATATATAAAAAAAATATTATATTCCAAAGAAGAAAGAACTTGGAATATTTTATTGTAATCTTAGCATTATCTAACTTACCAATGCAGACTGTTGTTTCACATCAAGCACAAAATCAATGGTTTTAGAATAAAAATACTTGATTTTTCAGGAATGATACATGCAGGAATTGGGGCCACACATGTCAACAATTTTCTTGGTGCATTGAATGTACCTCCTGTGAATTCCTCCACCATCAAGAAAAGAGAAAATGAAATTGGGAAAAAAATATTTGAAGTTGCAAGAGAATCATGTCAATCAAATCAAAAGAAGGAACAGTTAATGAGTAATGGAAAGGTAATTTAATATTTAGGCAGATATTTTTTAAGCAATGTTTTGATAATTTTACAAAGTATATATATAGAGTATATTGAGGACCGTATATTTAATTTTGCCCTTGCTGTCAGAGAAAATTAATTAGGTTTATACATGATTCAGATCTTGGTAATAATTTTTGGTTCAGGGTCAATATTTCAAATTAGATAAATTGCTTCGCTGAGCGCAGCTTGATATGACAGCAGAGATCCAAACTTGAACAGTTGGGGCAAAATTGGATACAATATTCACACTTGATACAGGTCTGCATTGGGATGTCATTAAATATTTGACACATAACAAGTTTGTGACACAGTGTCACTGTGGTCAAGGTACTAAGAATTGGTTACAGGATCAGAATTTATATTCAATTGTTTACTTTTGTGCAATACACTATGCTGTTGGGAATTGACTCCCCACCCCCTCCTAAATTTTTTTTAGCACCCCCTTTTTTGCCTTTTGTGCAAATTACACTATGCTGTTGTGAATTGACCCACCAAAATTTTTACCCCCCCCCCCCCTTTTTTTTTAATTTCTGAAATCTGAATTCACCTTCCCTTCCACTTTATTGGAACTTGGCTCTAAATAGGATGCATAGCCTCGCGTTATACCTGGGGTTGAAGTCATAAAACTTTGCTCAGTGCTCGGAGCACAACAATCATGCTCGAAAAATGAAATCCAAGATTTTGATTGGTTAATTTTGGAGTATGAGTACAAAAAACTGACTTTAAAGTTTTATGACCGCAAGGCCTGGTTCTTAGCCATTTACAACTAACATTCATATTTCAAAATAATGTATGGTTATTCTATATTTATTATTACAAATAACAATGTTGACAGCCTAATTTTCCATTTAATTTTATATTTACTATGTTTATAGCTACAAAATAATTGAAAACAGCATGTTCTTTCATTAATTCTATTTTTTGTCATTTAGGTTGAAGCCAGTTTTGATGCAGGATGGCAAAAGCGGGGTACTGGTTGGAATTATGATAGTAATACAGGTAAATTTAAACAGTTTAGGCTTTAACTTTATTAATAAAAAAAGATGTTCCCTATACATAATACATCACACAAACACAAGAATAAAGCAATTATGAATATAAATTGCAATATAAACATATGTATAAAAAAAATAGCAGGATATGGAGTAAATGTACATGTACATGCAACAAAATTGCAAACTATACAGAGACAAAATAAAAAAAATATTATCAATAAACAGGGCTTTTTTCCTGTGCTTCATCTTGACAGTTCAGTAATGAAATATTAACCTTCAAAACTGTAATGCAACAATATCATACATATGACTATAACAGCCGTCATCACAAAGAATTCTAGAATTTGTCATAGGTTGCCCACTAAAACAATAACATATTCTTTTCCTCTAAAACTACTGGGTCAATCTAATTTGTCCACAATTATCATTAGGTAAATAAAATCTAAAGGTCACATTGGAGCTTGTAAATTCTTAACATAATAATTACTTTGTGATAACTTTAGAAGCATTCGCCTATGTTCATGGGATGATTCACTTTGCGTTTTTTTTTTGTAATTTTTATATTATAAGGAATCTGAATTTTATTCAGTTTTATATGAGTTAATTTATCAGAAGAAAATTTAATGGATAGATACATTCAAGTAATTGTTGATATGCAAATCATATTAGAATATTTGTAATATTGCATACATGTATCTCAAAATAATCTTTTTATCGTAAATTTTAGGACATGCCAGCATGATCGGTTCAATGACGGGTAAAGTCATAGACTTCTCTCATAGAAGCCGGAATTGCAAAGTCTGTGAATACCATATGGGTAGAAAAGAAACAGTCCCTTCACATGACTGCAGCAAGAATTGGCAGGGTACAAGTAAAGGCATGGAACCTGATATGGCTTTAGAGATGACCCACAATCTGAAGGATAATGGATGTCCTATTCATGTTCTCCATGCTGATAATGATTCGACCACAACAGCAAGATTAAAGGTTGATTTTAAAGAACTGCAAAAGAAAGATGACCAGAACCATATCAAGAAAGGTTTTTCTAAGAAACTGTATGATTTGTCTCAAACGTTTAAGGAATTGAAACACCCAGAAGTCATACCATACCTTGTACGATGCTTTATGTATGCCATCAAAGAAAATAACCATTCCTCAGAAAACATAAAGAGTGCCTTCAGCAGATTAGTCCAACACATTTTTGGAGACCACACTTTATGTACAGATGCTGAATTGTGTACATATAAGAATGACCCAGAAAATATTAGGTACATGTAAGACATAATAACACACCTTAAAATTGGTATGCATATGAAAATAAGAAGGTGTGGTAAGATTGCCATGCAAAGAGACAACTCAGTCTTCCTTAGGACAATTGCAGACATTGTGTCAGCAATAATAGGTAACTGTAAATGTATACACCTTCATTAATGAGCAAAAGACTACATCTAATAAAAAAGGATCTTATGTTTGTTAAGTAATGACTATACATGTAAATACTTGATTAAATCCAATTTATGTAAAAAATGTATATATAAATGCAAATAACATACAAAACAAAAAAATATTCACATCATTTTTTACCACTTTTATTTAGCAATGACATTTCATATTTGCTATGTAGATTTTACATTTATAAAAGCTTAGCTTCAAGCGAGTGATATCAATCGTGTTGTAATGCCAAAAGAAAAATCTATAAATAATACTACTATAGTACTAGAGCTGGAACATTGCAGAATATGGGATCAACACAGGGAAACGAAAATTTCAACCAGATTGTGGCAAGCAAAGCCCCAAAGTCACGGTAAATATTTGATAAAAAACTTATAACCAGACTGATTTATTATAATATTTTTTTTCGATTATTTCTCACCTAAACAAAACGGTGAAGTGAACTTTTCTCAATTATTTTCTGTTAACTTTTTAAGATTTTAATTATATAAATCTTCTCCTCTGAATCTAAAGTTTACTTAGAACAGTTATCTTAAAAACAGCTAGGAGTATATTTAAACTATTTGATCAACTTCTTATTACAGAAAATCTCTTACATCAGTGAAGAAATCGTCTGTTGACCCATTATAAGAGTTATTGCCCCTTAGTTTAAATTTTTATGACTATGTTTTATTTGAAATTTTGGCCAAGATTTGATAACAATGAGAACATTTGAAATGTAAGCACTCTATTGTGGCATGTAAAATTTGAACACGACCACCCCCCCACCACCACCACCAACACGACCGTGTTAATAAGATGCATTCAATTCTATAGGGGTTGCACTTACATATTGATGAAAAGGATCATTTTTGTCTGGAGACATAGGTATGCTGTTTCCGGCGTCGTTGACGGCGGCGACGGCGTCAACAATGTATTAGTTTGTGATGAGGTCTAGTTCATGGTGAACCACTAGTGGTAGGTCAATGATATTTGGTATGCAGTTGTATTAGCATTGGCACATCTCATTACCTTGGAGATTATTTGGCCCCGCCCCCTCTGTCAAGGTCTATAGACCTTGAAACTTTTCACAGTTTACATGTATTAGTTTGTGATTAGGTCAATTTATGGGGAACCACTAGTGGTAGGTTAATAATATTTGGTATGCAGTTGTATAAGCATTGGCATATCTCATTTCCATGGAGATTATTTGGCTCCGCCACCTTAGTCATGGTCTATAGACTTTGAAAATTTTGCTAAGTTAACATGTATTAGTTTGTGATTATGTCAGTTCAAGGGGAACCATTAGTGGTAGACCAATGTTAATTGGTGTTCAGTTGTATAAGCATTAGCACATCTCATTTCCATGGAGAATATTTGGCCCTGCCCCCTCAGTCATGGTCTATTTACTTTGAAACTTTTGCTTAGTTTACATGTATTAGTTTGTGATTAGATCAGTTTAAGATGAACTGCTAATGTTAAGTCAATGATATTTGGTATGCAAATTTATTGGCATTTGCAAGTATCGTTTCCATGGAGATTATATAGCCCCACCCCTGATCATGGTTCATTGACTTTTAAACTTTTACATAGTTTACAAGTTAATGTTTGTGTTTAGGTTTGTTTAAAGGGAACGACTTATAATAAGTCAATGGTATTTGGTATGCAGTTGTATTAGCATTGGCACATCTCATTCCATGGAGATTGTTTAGCCATGTACCTTCAGTCATGATTCATCGACTTTGAATATTTGCACAACTTACATGTTAAAGTATTGCTATTTTAATTTCAACATTTGCATTATCAAAATTATAAAAAGGCGAGACATATCTCTGTGATAACAGTTTATGTTTTAACACACTCGCTTTACAGTAAAAGTATATTTAGATTTCTATTGTACTTGTCTTAATCTAAAAAAAAGAAGATGTGGTATGATTGCCAATGAGACAATTCTACACAAGAGACCAAATAACACAGAAATTAACAGCCATAGGTCACCATATGGCCTTCAACAATGAGCAAAGCCCATACCGCATAGTCAGCAATAAAAGGTCCCAAAATGACAATGTAAAACAATTCAACTGAGAAAACTAATGGCCTTATTTATGTAAAAAAGATTTATGTTTTTTAACTCAATTATACATAATAACCTTGATTTAAAACCATGCTTTTATTATATATGTTTTATTTATAGGTTTTATGGTGGATCATCATCATTAAGCAATAGGTTATCTGCCTCAGTATTACAGAAGAATGAAGGCTATACATGGCTGTCAAAGGTAAATGAATAAATTAAACAAGTAATTGGAAACAAAATGGTAATAAAAAATATTTACGCAGAAAAAAATGGTCATCCCCTTTTAAATGCAATCTGAAACAGGTTCTTGAATGGAAGTGAAACTGTTCATATGAAATAAACAACATGGAATAAACTAATTTTACCATTTTTGAATGTGTCTTGCATGCATACACTTCAATGTTATGTTTCCATAGGCCATGTAAGACATTTTGGCAACATGTTTTATCAAAGTGTAAACCTAGAAAAGATACTCTTAAGGACCAATCACATTCAAGTGTGTGTTGATATGCTTATCATATAAGAATATTATGTCTACAAAAATTAATTGCATGATTTTTAAATAAAACATTTCAAATTTCTTGATGCTATATATCCATGCTAACAAATCTTAAAATATTTCAGGTAAATGAGGCTTCTTTATTGTCTCCAGGACAACATACACTGAGAATTGGTAAAAGAATGGACAAGAAATTGAAAAGAGAAAGAGAAAGGCAAAATACCAAAGAATTTAAAAGAAGGCGTATTCAATTGAAAAAACAAAAGAAGAAATCTGAGTTTAGGTCAAAGGTAAAAGAAGGCACAACTTATGAAAACAATGCAGAAGTTAATGAACCTATGCCAGATATCCAGGAAATACCCTCACCATTAACCATAAATGAGTCTGACAACTTTGTATTTTTTTATTTGGAAACTAATGGTTTGTCAAGGAATAGTGACATAACTCAAATTGCTGCAGCCTGTGGTTCAAATACATTTCAACGTTATTTTATTCCAAGAACGGAAATTACTCAAGAAGCAAGTACGATAACTGGTATAACATTTTCACATTCTTCAAACAAAATGTATGTAAAATGAACAATAGTTGAAACATGTTCTGCTGAGCAGTCATTGCTAGATTTCATTGATTTTTTAAAACTTAATGACAGACCTATATTCGTTGGACATAATATTGCTAATTTTGATATGTTGGTGTTAGAGAATAGATTGAAGGAATTCCATTTGTTTTCAACTTTTCTAAATTACAAGCAACAGACTCTTGTTAATGAAATTTTACAGTCGACTTACAGTGGACATAATGCAAAAGAAGATGTTCTTTCGTTGAAAAAAATTTTGAGGTTAAGCTTCAGGAAAACTGTATCAATGAAGATGTTTACAATCTGAACTATAACCATGCAAAGATATCATTTAAACCTTTAATTGATATGAAAATTATAAATACATTGATATGTTCAAAATTGGCAAGAAGTGGAGTCCATTTGTGTCATTTAAAGATTGCAAAGGCTAGAGATGAGAATGGAGTAAAAGCTATTTTGACAGAGAATCATGTGAGCGCTAAATATGCTGGACCTATCATTCAGTTTTTGACAGTACCAGAGAAGTAAACAATATTATATATGTTATAACTTGTTATGTTGCTACAAATTAGAGTTTTGATGATATATAGGGTTTTTTTTTCTATCATTTAATATTACTCTATTTGAAAACTATATGTTGGCATAACTTTGATAATTATCAGTGAGGTGTGAAAATTTACATTATTATTCACAGTAAAGAGGCGGGTGGCCCAAAGGAGGAAAACTGAATTTTGTATATATATTCATGTTTTATGGTCAGTTTTTGTATAAATGTTACCATGGCAAGTAATATGTATGCTGCATCAAACAAAAATTGTTAATTTATGACAGGGGAAAAAAATCATGAAAGTTTTTTATCTGTTTACATGCTTGACTCGTACTTATAAATCAATATTTGAAAGAAAAAAAATTCTATATAATCTGTGAATTTTCCTACGTCTTACCTGGTTGCCATGGTAACTATTGTTCCTAGAAACAAAACAACAGCTTTAATTTGATTCTCATGTTAATCTATGTTATTGTGTTTAGGTTTTTACAAAAGATATGACAATATTTACCACACTTTGTATACATAAAATTAGAATTATACTTCTTCTTGTCCGGTTGCCATGGTAACCGTTGTACATAAAAACAAAAAATGTCTTCTTTTTGATTCATATGTGAAACTTTATTGATATGTGTAGGTTCAACAAAAGATTTTGAAACATGTGTAACACTTTGTTTACACAAATTTTGAAAAAATACAAAGAATTGCTGTTGATTACTGTGTCGGCATGGGTAACAAAAATGTTTTTAGATGAAAAAATAGTCTGGTGACCTATATTTTTTTAATTTTTTTTTCAAAGCTCATTGTTTGGATCATATCATGTCAAATTTAAAAAAAAAAATCATTGGACCAATTTTTTGGGAAGGAGTAGGTCCGGTAAAGGCCGATTTTGGCCTCACAATTCAGGTTCATCTGATGAAAGATTTTGAACACTTTTTAAACACTTAAGTGTCTACTTCAGTCGATTCAATTAGTGTATGTGAAAGATTTGAACTGATTTAGTCATTAAAGACGCTCAAATTCAAGCTTAAATATGAAAAATCTATCAAATATGCCATAATATGTCACTTTTCAGATGGTTTTTGTCAAAAATGAAAGTGGCCGCATCCATGTTCATTCTCAACCTTAATATATGTTATGTATTATCATCAAATACAACTTACATTTAGATATTAAGAATGAACACAAATGCGGCCACTTCCATTTCAGACGGAAACCGTCTAAATATTAACCAAAATGCTAAAATTTCGAAGATTTCAGTAACTTAGCATGACTTAATGATGCTAGTATCCGATACATGTGCATTGTATTGTCAAAAAGAGCCCATATTTATGTAACAGAAGTAGTCTTCTTTCCAATAAATAGCTAAAAATTTACATTTTAACAATTTTGTAAAACTGCTATATTTTGGGGCCAAAAAGGGGTCTTACTGGGCCTACTCCTTTAAGAAAAATAGAAAATTTTAACAAAATCTTTGTTTTTCATTTGCGCTATTGTAGACGAAATGGGGGCGGGATTTAATAAATATGTATAAAACTGCTATTATTTGAGTTTTATTTACATTTTCAACATTATTTATGTACTAAATGAAGAACAAACCTTTCAAAATACTTTCAAAGGCCTGAAAAAAATCCAGGATTTTTACTTCAGGTATGTATTCATTCACATATGTGATGTGCCTACTTTGGTGGCCGTTACCATGGAAACGAATCTGGTGACATGATATTTTTAACTCAAATTTTGATAGAGGCCATTGCATAGTATATGTATGCAAATTTAAAAAAAAAATCATTGGTGAAAAAAAAAATTGCTTTATCTGTAGGGATCCACCTTAATCAGTCACTTATTCTTAATAATTGTATTACATGTAACCTGAAATCATACACTTTCTTCATTAATCATTTTACAATCAATTCGTGTCTGAGCAGAAAGTTGATGAGCCAGGGGTATGTCAAAGAACGTCTTGTCATTTTTCTAAAAAAAAGTTTATTGGAAGTGCTTGAGGTATAGATTCTGGGTACTGACGTTGTTTATCATCTTAATAACGTGTTATAGTATTCTTTTATTTGTCTTTATGAATATTACTTTTAGTGTTTAGTCTGTTTTTTTTTATTGATATCCATTTGACGTGACTTTGTACTCATACATCCCGTCATTGTGTTATTGTTCTATGAAAATTTTCCTCTGAGTTCAGTATTTTTGTCATTCACTTCTTAATATTTCAATTTATTACATTGTTCAATAAATTCGACCACATGTAAAAGATAATTGTATTAGATGTAACCTTAAATCTGTTACTTTTTTTTTGATAATTTTAGATGTCTCCTTAAATCGACCCCTTTCTTTATTGATTATTTAACTATATTTTATTAAAAATTCGACAATTTTTATAGGTAGTTGTATTAGATGTAAAATTTAATCAGTCACTTATTCTTAATAATTGTATTACATGTAACATGAAATCATCTACTTTCTTCAATAATGATTTTACAATCAGTTCGACTACTTTTTATAGATAAATGCATTACAGGTGATCTGAAGTCGGTCACTTTTTCTAGATAATTGTACTAGATGTAACAATAAATCGTTCACTTTTTCTAAATAATTTTATTAGAGGTAACTTTAACTCTGCCACTTTTTGATTGATAATTTTACATTAAATTTGAACATTTTTTATAGGTAATTGTATAAAATGTAACCTTAAATCGTTCCCTTCTTAATTGTTAATTTTATTTTTTTTTCAATAAATTCGACTATATGTAAAAGGTAGTTGTATTAACTGTAAACTTAAATAGTTCACTTTTCTAGATAATTTTATGAGATGTCACCTTAGATCGATCACTTTCTTTATTGATATTTGACTATATTTGATAACAAATTCGACAACTTTTTATAGATAATTGTATTAGATGTAACGTTTAATCAGTCACTTATTCTTAATAATTGTATTAAATATATCGTGAAATCGGCCCCTTTTTTCATTACTCATTTTGCAATCAATTCGGCTACTTTTCATAGATGAATGAATGAATGATCTTTATTCTCATAAACCAAATACATAGTTACAGAGAAGAAATATCACAATAATAACAAATATTGAATATAGCATGTGTGAAATACAGAATATTGTTAATTAATATTATAAATATATATTTGGACAAAAGATAAATTAATATACAATAGTTGTTTTAACAAGGAGGATAGACTTTCACAGAAATACATTTAATAAATCTACAGAGTTTCTCAAGTTCAACACAGTTTCGATTTGAGTATACTTGTTTAAATTTTATAACATTTACATTAGAATTACAGTATTGCGGTAAATATTTGTTTCTATCGTCTTTGAAAAAATTACAAGACATAATATAATGGTATTCGTCAGCGATGTCAACTGAGTCGCAAAGGTGACACAATCTATCAGATCTTGGTGTGTTGTGCCACCTTCCCGTCTCAATTGGCAAACGGTGATTTCCACATCTAAATTTACATAAGGTTATTAATAAATTGAATGGTAGCACTGACAAATAGTGTTCAAATTTAAAAACATTTTTATACAATCTATAACATAAACCCTTTGGCGAATTGTTCATTTCTGATGACCATTCTTGAGTGAACTGGTCTCTTAATCTTTGCTGAACACTTAATACAACCCAGCGTTTCTGAAATACATAATGACTTTGCCATACATTAGACATTCCACAGTCATTAAAAATGTTCTTTATATAAGATAACCATTTATTTTCATAACCATAATTATTGAGATTAACATATAACAGATTATATAATAAACATGATATTTTGCGCTCTTTTCCTTCTTGTAAGCGACACCAGAAACTAATCATGCGTGACTTGACGGTAACTGAAATAGGGTATCTTCCCAGCTCACCATACACCATAAAATTTGGGGTTGAATTTTTTAGACGTAATATATGCTTGCAAAAACGCAAATGAACTCTCTCAAGAATATCTAAATTTTCTAATCCCCATATTTCGCACCCATATGTTAATATAGGAACAATAGCCTTATCAAACATATCTAGTTGGCACTCGATCGACAAATTATTAAGTCTGGATTTTTTTATTACAGCATACATTGCTTTAATCGCCTGGTCACGTAGATATTTTCTGGTGGAAAGAAATGAGCCACTTCTAGAAAATATGATACCAAGATATTTATAGCTACTGACTATCTCAATTTCATTTCCATCTATATTAAATATCAAGTTTCGAGGTATTCTACCTCTTGAAAATACCATAAGTTTCGTTTTATTGATGTTAATTTTTAGTTTCCACTCTTTACAATACTCTGAAAATTTATCCAACATACATTGTAAGTCATGGCTAGATTCCGCAAGTAGTATTGTATCATCTGCATACAATAATAGAAAAATTTTAAAATATACAAAAAGTTCGTTCTCAATATCAAGTGTAACAGACTGAATTCCATCAATATT